CATTGACCTCCCAAAACCGGCAAACAAAATTGGCGTCTCCAGCATCCTGTGAACAGACATGCGCCGCACGTGCATCGTGCTCTGGGCGGGGGCAGCTGCTCTCAGCACCCTGTGGAGGGGTCGAAAGCCTCGGCACCCGCGTGCAATGCTGCGGCCTCGCTCTCCTCCGTGGCGCACGCCTGGCCCACGAAGCGCTCCAGGGCAGAGGAGTACCACACGTTGCCTTTCGACGTGTGGGGGGCTGCCCCCAACCCCCCGCAGTGCAGCAGCACCGCCACCTTCGGATGCAGCGGCTCGCCGGCATCGGGGTGGCGCGGGCCTGTGCGTGGAGCGCCCGCCACCGCCCACGCGCGCAAGAGTCGCGAGCGCGCCGTGGGGCGGCCCGCCGGCTCGGCACGCGACCGCCTGCACGGCGTGTGGCCAGCCTTCCCAGGGCCGACCCCCCGGAGCCACCCCATTCTACTGCTTACTTCACTAGGGGAACAAAAAGTGGCATAAACATAAAAACTCGGAGGTCCGCGCGATTTCTCGGATCGGCGCTGGGGCCCACCGGCGGCGCCTCCGGCGCCGCCCCTGGCGCACTCCGCGCGCCAGGGAGGGGGGTTCAGCGCCGATCCGAGAAATCCGCGCGGACCTCCGAGTTTTTATGTTTATGTTATTTGTTTTTTCCCCTATTCACTTCTTCCTGCCTCGTTCACCCAGCTGCTCGTCCCCGTCGGAGCGAAGATACTCCACGAAAAACAAGTTCTGGGCGTTCCTCAGGCGTCACGCGGAGCCGCAGGGAGCGACACTAGGTCTGCCGAGAGCCAAAAGAGCGGGTTACGGAAGGACTGGAGTTGAGCCGCATGGGCTGGAGGGGAGGGGAAAAGGAGGGGGGGCGGGCGCGAGGGAGGGGATGGAAGGAGGGAGGGAGGCAGGGGAGGGGGGAGGAGAAGGGAGGAGGGATGGGAGGGAGGAGGATGGTGGAAAGGAGGGAAGGAGACTGGGGAGGACGAGGGGGAACGTTGCCCGCACGACCCTGGTCACGCCGTCACGCCTCGCCCTGCAGGGCGCCTCGGGCGCCACGTCGCTGCGCGCCGCATTCGTCTGGCTCGTCGTCCACAGGGAGATGATGCCGCCAATTACGACAGCGTTGACGACAACGATTATCATGGTGGTGGTGGTGATCGTTGGCCGTCCGGGTAGTATCGTTGGTCGTCTGGGTTTCGTGGGATGTATGCGGGCCACGGTTCACAGTATGAGTTTGCCTATCGCAGGTCGGCTCGCTCGCAGGTCGGCTTGCGTCGAGGCCGCCGAAAAACTCCCCTCCACACCAAAGTGGTGGTGGTGGTGATGGTGATGATGAGCGCCCCGCATTGACAGGAGCTGCTGGCCAGAGCGCCAGCGGCAGCAGCAGCATGGGTTCACTTCGGCCCGGTGGCCATGGGAAGCGTAGATCTTATTCACAGCTTCGTACGCACGTCGTGCACGACGCGAACACACACACACACCGCCGCTACTTCCATGTAGACAGACTTCTAGGTATGTTCTGGGCTCTAATTGAAATTTCAACTGCACATATGACCTTCGAGCTGGATTCGAACGGGTGTGCTGACGCTTGGAGTCGATATCCATTCCTTACTTTCCAATACCACAACGTTGTCTAAGTGTCATGCTCCCGGCACGATTTGTGCGGGACTCCCATCAATATATATCTCTCTCGATCGTAGCGCCCATCCTTATTTTTCCCAAGATTCGCGTATATCCGTCTATTCACCGAATCGCGATCTTTAGTCGAGTTGTCAGAAGATTCGGAGTTGGTGGATCATGATTGAAGCCCAGAAGGGGGCCCCAGTCAAGCCAAATATGATACCAATGCAAGCGGTGACTACGCTAACCGTAGCCCACTATGCTATACCTCCTGGTAATATTTTAGCCTAGCTTTCTTTAGACAGCTATAGCGCAGGTGAACTTAGCTTAGCTTGGCTTAGCGAAGCTTGGTTCAGCTCAATTCTAAGCTGGGCTTAACTCAGGTCATCCTGACTTGGCTTTGCTTTAAGCCGTTTTTCCATACTTGAACGCAGCGTATCTTAGCTTCTGAACGTAGCTGAGCTGCGCTTGGTGTATTCAGGTTCGCTTCGGCTAGCGTAGCTGTACCTGGCGTAGCTGATTTGAGGTTAGCTTGTATCCGCGCAGCTGTTTGTTTTAGGTGATCAGGGGTTCGCTTATATTAGCTTGATCTTCTCGACCTGCCCAACTAATCAAGTTTGAGCCTGCTGGAGGCCTCTCAGGGCCCTCTTTGGGGATCTCTTGGGGCCCTCTTGCCATGAGGGCCATGCTGGATGTAACTGGCCAAGTAAGGTGGGAGTTTCTCGTTCGTAACTCCCTTTGCAAACCCGACGAATTTATCCCTGGGTCTCACTTGGAGCTCTCTTGGGGTGCTGTTGGGAGCCTTTGGGGCCCTCGAAGGGGCCCCATTGGGATCTGCAGGGCCCTCTTGCCCCTACTGACCCATATCGGGGCCATCTTGTCTGGAGGCCTCAAGGCCTCATCGGAAGCCGAAAATGCGAACGCGGCGATATTCGTTGCGCAGTTTTACGCTTTCATGCAGGCCTCTTGCGGCAGCCTTGGGTGGCTTTGGGCTCATGGCCATCTTGGAGCTTTCTAGGAGCCTCTTGACTATCAAGGCGCGTCGTGGTGACAGCTTATCGAAGATCCCTGCGGTGAGGCACAGCCGCCCTCTCCCCCGCCTTTTGGAAACGCTTGTGTCGTGGAATGGCGAGCGAAGGGCGGTCACGATATTTGACTGTGTGTTCCCCCGCCAGCTGTCGGGGAGACCGCTGGGGGAACACTGGGCAGGGTACTTCTGATATCGTCTTTGGGCTAACTTCGGATTCGTTCGGGCTTCCTGGGTCGTTTGAGCCATCATGGGGCTCTCCTGGGCCATCTTTCTTGGGCCATCTTAGGTCGCTCTTGAGTTGTCTGGCGCCTTCAGAGACAGTCTTGGGGGCTTCTTTGGGCCGTCTTGAAGCCCTCCTGGGACCATGTAGGGCCGTCTTGGGAGCCCTGTGACTCATGATCTCCAGGGGCAGTTAGGCCGCAGCCCCAGCGGGATCATGCCCACCTCTGACCTACACGACAATCGGCTATGACGTTCAGCAGTTCGGGAAATTCTCCCGCGCAATCATGTATTCCATGTTTGTTCTGTTGGAAGAATGCTGGAGGCCATCTGGGTCAACTTCGGGAATCTTGAGCCAGCATGGCAGCAATCTTTGGATGATTGGTGTCATCATTGAGCTATTAGGAGCCATTTTGGACTGCAGCCCCTCACGACCCCCCCTCGGTCAAGAATCCAAGGTGGGGATGAGGAGAAGGGTCAACCCTTTATCTGCGAGGGTCATTTCGCCAAGGCCGTTCTGCTAAACCATCCTCATCCTCATCTATTCGACATCCTCCCCTTCCTTAGCCAGTTTGGGGCAGAGTTTTTCAATTACGGTTGGGCGTGCAGCTCTACTCTTTTGGACTTCATTCGGCCATCCCTCCCTCCCGAAGCAGACGATGCAGCGCTCCTCCGCGGTTTCGCTCGTCGCCGCCTTCGCCGCCGGCCTGGTGGCCTGCCAGCTGTGCAGCGCCTTCGTGGCGGCGCCGCTTGGCCAGCATGCGCCCCGCGGCCACCCCGATGCAGCTTTGGACATCGCGGGGGCGTCGGGAGCGGCCCCTGTCTCCCAATCGGCTGCGCCTGCTGGAATCGGCCTGACTCTGATCGGGGCGTCTGCTGCCCTGGCCCTGTTTGCTCGGGGTGCGCTGTCCAGCGCTGGCAGGAAGGCCACCTCGCACGGCTCTGCGCAGCACAAGGTCGTGATGGCGGCATTCGAGAGCGAGCTGGGCGTGCAGGACCCGGTTGGCTTCTGGGATCCCGCTGGCTTCACTGCGGACGGTAGCACGGAGAACTTTGCCCGCCGGCGCCAGACCGAGCTGAAGCACGGCCGCGTGTCTATGCTTGCGACGATGGGCTACATCACCCCAGAGATCACCGGCAAGCTGCCAGGGTACCTGTCGCCGTCCGCTGGCCTGAAGTTCGCGGACATCCCGAACGGCCTCGGTGCGATCTCCAAGGTTCCCGCGGCGGGCTGGGCGCAGATCGTGGCGTATGGCGCGTTCTGCGAGCTGTCCCAGGACCAGTCCGCTGGCACCGCTGCCGCGGCGGGTGACTTCGGCTTCAAGGTGCTGACGTCCAGCGACGCTGGGGAGAAGCAGAAGAAGTTGGCGGCTGAGATCGCCAACGGTCGTCTGGCCATGATGGCGATCATCGGAATGTTCTTCCAGGACGGCTTGACTGGCTCCGCGTGGGGCGACTGGGCGCTCTACACGGGCTCTCCGCTGCGCGCTTTCGAGAGCGAGCTGGGCGTGCAGGATCAGCCACGCGCAGAGGGGGGTGGGGGAAGGGGGGATAGCTTTTTAGAATCACTCCTGCTTCTTAGCGGGCGCGGGTCTTGCCTATAGATGTAAGGCCGACGCCTTCTATGAAGCAGCCTCCTTTTAAGAAGCCTTCCCCCCTCCCCCTACTCCCTTGTGCGCGCCGCCACCAGGACCCGGTTGGCTTCTGGGATCCCGCTGGCTTCACTGCGGACGGTAGCACAGAGAACTTTGCCCGCCGGCGCCAGACCGAGCTGAAGCACGGCCGCGTGTCTATGCTTGCGACGATGGGCTACATCACCCCAGAGATCACCGGCAAGCTGCCAGGGTACCTGTCGCCGTCCGCTGGCCTGAAGTTCGCGGACATCCCGAACGGCCTCGGTGCGATCTCCAAGGTTCCCGCGGCGGGCTGGGCGCAGATCGTGGCGTACGGCGCGTTCTGCGAGCTGTCCCAGGACCAGTCCGCTGGCACCGCTGCCGCGGCGGGTGACTTCGGCTTCAAGGTGCTGACGTCCAGCGACGCTGGGGAGAAGCAGAAGAAGTTGGCGGCTGAGATCGCCAACGGTCGTCTGGCCATGATGGCGATCATCGGAATGTTCTTCCAG